AAGGCGGGAAGCTCCTGTCGCGGCAGGCGGGTAGGCACAGCCGGGCAGGGCCGCCCTGCGACCGCGGCTCGTCGTCGGTGGGCAAGCGCCGTCTGGGAGGCAGAATTTCATTTCTAAACCGGTATTTTAAAACAGGTCCGTAATTCTGAGGACAGAATTTCAGAAGACTGCCCTAACTTCTAGATATAGGTTGTATTTGTTAAAATGGATTTTTTTTTTAAATACCTAATTGGCCGGGAAAGCTCCTCCGTAGGCGTAAGAGGTATGGGGTTTAATTGTGCAGAAAGTGTGGACCCATATAGAGGGTGCACGTTTGCTTTTTAATTTGAAGATTGTTGGGAGGATGGCTAGTTAAAAATCCAGCCAAAAAAGGTTCTTCAGCCATTGCCCAGTGAGTCTGGAAGTGCCCCCTGGAAGAACAGCAACCCATGAGTATAACCCCTGCACAGCAACACTTTTTCAGGGACCCCAAACCGACAAAATGCATTCCTGTGATCTGCATCCTGTCTCCTCTGAGCTCAGATGGTACAGGAGAGAGCTGAGGGCTCTGCCATGGGTTCAAAGATGTTTGCTGACCACAGGGAAACGGGGACTGCCACCACTCCATCCCACCGCAGGCCCTGGAGGCTGTTGGCCAAATCTCCGTCACACCTCCATGTGTTTGGGCCCTGCCCTCCACAGCCTCCTCTTGCTCCCCTGGGAGTGTGAGTCTTTCAGCTCATTGCCCCAGGCTCTTTTCTAGTAATTCATGTCTCTTTCCTACTGCCAGCCTGGCCCCAGGCTCACACCTTCCTACCCTTTCCTCTCACCCCTACTCCCAACCCATTCACCTTGTCCAGCCAGTCCCAGTTTTTTCCCACCTTCCCCAGGCAATTGTCAGCAAGTTCCACTGTGCCTTCCCCTCGTCTTTGTTTCCTGGGACTCCCGAACTGGCTTCTCCTTTTGGTCCCTCAACATTCCTGTGGCCATTTTGGCCAATCTCTATGACCGGACTCTGACCCCCTCCCCTCCCTTTAACCTCCCAGCTGCCTGCAAGGCACTTTGCTTCACACAGCAGCCCCTTTCTTCTGCTCCCCACTCTGGGACCCTTCCCCTCTCTCCTGCACTTCACCTAGGGACGCTCACCTCCCCTTACCATACACGTGGGGAAGTGAAACCACACTCTCACAACTCACATAATTAAATTTTAATGGCTAGAATTAAATTTCAGTGTTGTGGGATATGAGAGTTTTTAATTCTGTCTTAAATTTTCACAGGGAAGCTTCTGTCCAGATGCAGTGTGGCACATGTTGCAGGCCCGTGGACTCTTCAGTGATGTTCATTGTACTCCAGTAAATCTGTGTGGAGCATGTGAATACTTTTTTTTTTTTTCCCTTCAAGTAGTATAATTTGGTTTACTTTATGCAGGTTTTCACAAGGCTAGCTAGCAAAGCCACAGCACTGAAAAATGTCATCTCTGCCCCCTCACGCATCAAATTTTCACACTTCTGCTGGGGTACATGAGACTTTTTAAAAGAAATTTTCAGAATGTTTTTATTATGATGTTCTTTTTCACTGGCTTTCTTCTTGGAAACAATGAATCACTGTAGAAGAAATTAAGAGAAAAAAATAAAATAGCCTGAGGTAGACATCTGGTCTAGAACATTTAATCCCAACTGGCTAAAATTTTGCCAAGTCACAAAGAACGGGAACAGTCAGGCAGCTTTAACAATGCATAACGTTACCTGACCCACCCCTTGTTATGCAGTGTAACACAGGAGACATTTCCACATGCTGTTTCCACAAAGTGCTTGGGAAATGTAAACCCATAATTTCTGTTAGAGAAAATTTTACTGAAGTTTCTTGATTACTTCCTGCATCATATCTTCAAGCTGGCAATTCTTGCTGTGCCTTTGTGTGGGAGAGAAGATGAATCTGTGGCCTAGAAACTTTTATTTCTAGTCTTTAATACAGAGAGACTATTTATACAAATTGATAGATGAGCAAACCCAATGGCACCAGTGGGTCAAATACAGCAGTTACTTCTAAGAAGGCATAAGAAACTCTAGTGTTACAGTGCCCCAGGTTGCATTTGGCTGTGCAAAAGGAGATCTCTGTTGTTGCTAGATAAACTACACAGCTTTTAGTCTTGCATTTCCCACCAAAAAAAAAAAAAAAAGGACAGAAAAACGCTACCACTAAAGGCACATTCCAGGCATTCCCAGACATGGTAAGGAACAGAGAACAGGATCAGAACAGTGATACAGTTAAGATTTGGGTTTGGTTAGATAGTAATGACATTATGAAACTACCAGTTATTAAGTAAGTTATAATCCCAGTTGGGACCATACATATTTAGTTTAAGTGAAACAGAAAAATAAACAAAGTATGCATGTAACAAGCTTTCCATTTCAGAAGGACAAATTGAGGGCTATAGAAACTATTCATTAGAGTAAGTCCCTCCTTAAGTGGTCTGTTTATAACAAAAAGTCTGTACTCAGAGAGTAAAGTGAAGATCACCAAAACTCCATTGATAGAAACCTTGTAAGTAAAATAAAGAGAAGCATCAGAAGATGTTTCATGCAATTACAAAAGTAAAGAAAAATTGAGTCCATTATACCGCAACAGTAGAGATTTAATGCAAGTGTGGCCCTGAAACTTACTTTGTTTTCAATTAAGATGATGGAATTTGATCTTTAGGGGAAAGATACTATAAGTAATGGGGATCCTGGTATGAACATGACTAGGTTTAAGGCAGAAGGAAAACAAGATCCAGTTCATTCAGTTTCGGTGGACCACACTTGTTTCCTACATTTCTTAACAGATGAAATCACCTAAGTATAGTATATGGGTACATGGTAGCAAGCTACAGACTGCTGTAGCATTCTTTGCCTGGGGATTACACACCTAATGGATAAGCTTGTATGTATGAATTTACTTGGGGGTTTTTCATTAAGATGCCAAAACTTGAAAGGCTACAACATCTTGCACTGATCCTCCTGTTCAGTAGTTACCACATGAAGCGCCTGAAGAACAAGAAATTTTCTTCTCCGCTTACCACTGCTCCCCTGACAACCCCCAGTGCCTCTCTCTGGGAAGTCCCACCAAGGAGACCCATGGGCTGAGGGGGCGCTCACAGGGTCTGGCCTCACTTCGTGTTTGCGGTTCAACCAGCCAAAGACTAACGCTGCTTGTGCTCCACCTCCTCATAGTCGTCAAAGCAATCATCGGGGGAAATGTTTTTTCGTTTCCACGTGAACTTAGATCCTGCCCCAGCTCCACATGAAATCCATTCTGAATTTTGTGACTCTTTCTCCCCTTTGCAAATCTTTCGCAAGGTCTAAAAAAAAAAAAAAAAAAAAAAATCCACAAAAAAATCTGCACAGTAACTAGTCATATTTGGTGCATATCTCTGTATCTGCAGATACACCTGGAGGCGTACCTTGGGGAAGTTCAGACTGGACATCAGAAAAGGTTCTGCACCGAGAGGGTGGTTGGTCGCTGCAACAGGCTCCGCAGGGGAAGGGGTCACGGCACCATGCCTGTCAGAGTTCAAGGAGCGTCTGGACAACGCTCTTAGTCATATGGTTTAGTTTTAGGTAGTCCTGCGGGCAGCAGGGAGTTGGACTCGATGATCCTTATGGGACCCTTCCAACTCGAGACAGTCTGTGAGGCACAGCTACTCTGGGCCCGCACAGCTGTGAGGCAGGGGCCTCTGGGAGGAGGCAGGCGGGACCACGAGTGGCCGCAGGGCTCGAGCAGGGCACGGCGGCAGCGGCGGGCAACGTGTCGCGGCCCCTCACGGGGTGGCAGAGCCCCCGAAAGGCCGCCCAGCGCCGTCGGGTCCGCGTCTCCGCCCGGCCCGGGGCTAACGCGGCGCCGAGGTCCGCCGCCAGCCCGCCGCGCCCGGGCACGCAGCTCCTGCGAGGGCTGCGGGACCGGCGCCGGCCTTTCCCGCAGCAGCCGCTACCGGACGTACG